TTCCAGCACAATGTTAAATAGGAGTGGTGATAAAGGGCATCCTTCTGTTGTTCCTGTTCTCAAGGGGAATGTTTTCAGCCTCTCTCCATTAAGAATGATGTTAGCCATTGGTTTTGCATCTTAGTTATCTAATGCTGCTATAACAGAAATACCACAAGTGGATGGCTTTAAGAAACATAACTTTATTTTCTCACAGTTTAGGAGGCTAGAAGTCCAAACTCAAAGTGTCGGCTCTAGGGGAAGGTTTTCACTCTCAGTTGGCTCTGGAGGATGGTCCTTGTCTCTCCAGCTTCTGCTTCCTGGTTCCTTGGAGATCTTCATGTATCTTGGCATCTATCTTACCCCATGTCTCCTCTGCTTGCTTATTTAATCTCTTTTATATCTTAAAAGAGATTAACTAAAGACATGCTTTACACTAATTTTGCCTCATTAACATAACAAAGACAACCCATTCCCAAATGGGATTATAACCACAGACATAGGGTTAGTATATACAACATATAGTTTTGGAGGACATAATTCAATCCATAACATTCCACCATTTAGCACCCCAAAACTGATGTTCTTGCTACATGCAAAACACATTCACCCCCTCACATCATCCCAAAAATCTTAAATCAACTTCAAGTCCAAAATCTCATCTTCTGAATCATCTAAATCAAATATGGGTGATGCATTAGGTGCATACCATCCTGGGGCTAAATTTCTCTTCATCTGTGATCATGTGAAATCTAAAATACAAGTTACCTGTTTCCAAAGTACAATAGTGTAACAGGCACAAGGTAGACATTTCTATTACAAATGGGAGAAATTGGAGGTAAAGAGGGGAAAACAGGCACCAAGAAAGTCCCAAACCTAGCAGAACACATTACATTAGATCTAAGGCTTGAAAATAATCATCTGTTCTCTAAGACTATCTGGGCAATGGTTCTGCCCTCCAGACTCTGGATGTTGGTCATGTTCCCTGGATTCTGGGTGCAGACACCTCAGCCCTAGGCCTCAGTCCCACCTTCCATGCCCACTGCAACTCTGCTCCCTTGGCTTTGGGTAGCCCTATTCTCCTGGTCCATCTGAGTGGCTACCCCATCCCTTCAGCCCTGGCATGCCTCATTCTTCTTCCTCTTAGGCATGGAAGTCCTGCCCTTTCATTTTTGGGTGATGCCCCATCCACCTGTCACACCTTAACAGCAGCCCCACATTCCAGAACCAAGTTGGTAAAGATCCAACTCTTTGAAAACTAGGTGGCTGTGACCCCACCCTTTAAGATCCAGGAGACTGTGACCCCACCCTTTGAAACCAAGAAGGCCCTGTTTCTGGTGCTCATTCCAACAGTTCTGTTGATCTCTGAGCTGCACCAGAGATGTTCTTTTTATTTTCTTGGAGGACAACAGATGTAGGTTCTTTGGCCTGTTTCCTGTCTGCAGAATTCCAAGAGGCAGACAGCGTTCTTTCCTTTTGTTCTTTCTCTGTCCCCTTCAGTCTAAGCTGATAGGTTTCCTGTTGTGGTAGTTAGTTAGATCCATAAGTTACAGACTTAATCTCTTGTCTTAAGCTGGGTTCTCTAGAGAACCAAAACCAGAAAAGTGTATGAATATATATATAGAGAGAGATTTATATCAAGGAAATGGCTCACGTGGTTGTAGACGATGGAACATCCGAAGTTCATGGGTCAGGACAGAGGCCTCTGCTGGTGCATGTAGCCACAGGGGCTGGTGAACCCAACATCGGCAAGTCAGAGAGCAGGGCTCTTGCTCACAGGCTGTGAAGATCAACGAATCCAAAAGATCGGCAGACAAGACCGTAGGCAACCTGCCAGCTCAAGTCCCAAGAACCGGAGGTCAGACAAACAGGAGCCAGCTGCCGGATCCAGAAAGAGCAAAAAGCCCCAAACCTTGCCAGAATATCCACTTATATTCAATACAGGCCACACAGCTAAGGAAACTCCCTTTCAAATGATTGGCTACTCACAGCAGATCCCATCATGGAGGTGATCACATAATATCAAATCTCATCATGGGAGTGACCACACCATCATATGACTATCAAACCACTGAGATTCATGGTCCAGCCAAGTTGACACACAACCTTAACCATCACATTTCTTTAACAAAAAATTGTGTAGCCATGTCCTTGGTGAACATTCTGGAACCTGTGTCCTTAGTTTGTACAACAGAATTTTCCAAATCTTTAACTATTGTTTTCATTTTGCACAGTTCATTCTTAAGTCCATCTCTTTCCTCTTGCATTTTACTATAAGTGGCAAGGAGAAATCACACAGCCCCTTTAAGATCTTGCTCAGAAATCTCATTAGCCAGAGATCCAAGTTCATCACTTACAAGTTCTACCTTTCACCAAACATTTGAACATAATTAAGACAAGTTTTTTGCCACTGCATAAAAAGCATCACCCTTCCTCCATTGTTCAATCACATGTTCATAATTTTTGTTTCTTAAAGCCTCGCCATAAGCACATTTAATGTCTATATTTCTAGCAACGTTTTGTTGCTGGTGTCATATGTACTCTCTAAGACAACAGAGACTTTCTCTATAGCTCTCCTCACTTCCTTCTGAGCTGTCAGCAGAATTGCCTTTGATGTCCATAATTCTACCAACACTCTTTTCAAGGCAATCTAGGCTTTTACTATTAGGCACCTTAAAACTCTTCTGGGCTCTACCCATTACCCTATTCCAAAACCACTTCCACATTTTTGCTATCTGTTAGAGCAGTATTCCATTCTTCTAGTACCAAATTCTTAGTTATCTAGTGCTGCTATAACAGAAATAACACAAGTGGATGGCTTTAAGAAATAGAAATTTATTTTCTCATATTTTAGGAGGCTAGAAGTCCAAATTCAGAGTGCTGCTCTAGGCAACTGCTTTCTCTCTTTGTCAGTTCTGTGGGAAGATCCTTGTCTCTTCGGCTTCTGCTTCCTGGTTCCTTAGAGATCTCCATGTGTCTTGGCATCTATCTTACCCCATGTCCCCTCTAGTTGCTTGTTTAATCTCATTTATATCTCAAAAGAGATTAACTCAAGACACACTTTACACTAATCCTGCCTCATTAACATAACAAGAAACCTATTCCCAAATGGGATTATAACTACAGGCATACAGGTTAGGATTTACAACACATATTTTGGGGGAACATAATTCAATCCATAACAGGTACTGATATATGATTAATATGAAGAAGCTGTTACAATATTAGGTACGTCGGAAAGTGGCCTGGGCTGCCTTGTGAGATAATGAGTTTCCTGTGGTTAAAGTTATTGAAGCCACATCAGATGGTAGGTTGATTGGGTGAACTAGAGCATTACTATTCAAAGTGTCGTCCCTGGGAGTTAGAAATGTAGAATTTCAGGGTCCACTCCAGTCCTACCGATCAGAATCTACAATTTAGTAAGATCCATGGGTGACTCATACGTATGTCATGTTTGAAAAGCAATGCTGCAGCTGACATGTAATGAATCTTAATATTATTCCTATGTTTATCTCAAAATTTGTAGGATTATTTTGTGATGCAGGATTTGAATGACAGTCTAGAAGAGAAGGGATTAAATACATGAGTTTGACCTCACATGTCCACTATAAGGTCAATAAATTATACGCTACCGCAAAAGAAAGATTGTTTCTTGCATAGTATACTTTATTCGTGTATGCTGGCATATGGGTTCTATTATTTAGATGCGCTTCAGACTCTTTGCTTTACATAAAAGTAAAATAAACCTTTTGGATTTCTAAGGATACTCACACTCGCTCACACATTGTACCCAATGTTTAAACATTCTCTAAATTCTCTCATCCTTGTCTTTTTCATTTTTACTAAAAAGAGAATAGCTGAATTTCCCTCACTGGAAGGTTCTTTTTGCTGCTTAGAATAGATATCGGTTTTGCCGCCTGTTTTCTCTCCAGCCCTAATGGGTCGGTGTGAATGGACAACAGCGGCAGAAAGAGAGGTGAGTAGGTAAACAGACGCGTAGGTATAGGGGCAATTGGAACACAATCAAGAGACCAGACTTCCAAGATGAATTCACTGGTGCACTGAGGAGTGGTTATTCCAATCACACAATCTTCATCGCCAAAGCAATGAATGAAGATCGGGAGAGATAAACAGAAATGACAGATTCCACCACACCCTAGACTGACTGAGGTCCCTACAATCATGACCACTATGCCCTGGTCCAGGGAGAAGGAAGCTGCTTAAAGCAATGACAAGCATGGAAGGCCAGTGAGCCAGGAGGTGCCCAAGTTCATTCCCATTCCCACCAGCGAGAACTGACACACGCTTTCCTGCAGAGATCATTGTGTGGGGGAAGCCCAGACTGAGGAGAGCGCACCCCCGTTCTACTCCTGCTGGAGCCTTCACCGGGGGCACTGGGACCGCGAGCTCCAGCTGCTTGGGAGCGGCTTCGCGGGAGTCGTGTGTATCCGCGAGCGCGTGTGCGTGAGGAGGAGAGCAAAGACGTGATTACTTCAGAATTTATTTAAGGACCGGTGGAAACCACTGCAGCAGCTTCCAGGGGAAGCCCTTGTTCCAGAGGAAGAGGAGGTGCGGCTGCCGAGGAGGGAGGGGGCGGAGGAGGAGGAGTAGCAGCAGAAACCCGAGGGAAGTGAGGAGAGAAGATGCTGTAGCATCCTCACCGGCTCTCAGCAGGTTGGTTCTCTCAGCCAACTGAGACAAGCAAAAGCGGCTTGCAAAGAGGCTGGGAGGGGAAACTGGGTGTTAGGGGCTGGCTGCTTGCCTTTCCGGAGAAGAAGCACCTCATTTAAGTGCAATGAGACACTCTAGCGCGGAAATGGGCTGGGGGCCAGAAGGAGAACTGTCCTGATTCTCTTATCCCTGGGGACTCGCTTCCCTTTAGCTTTTCAGCTCCCGGCGTTAGCCATAAACTCCAGAGGTCTCTGGGTGGAGGACTGGGTGGAGAACTTACAGATACTCCTCATGTCTTTTGCTCACATTTCGAGGGACACCCCTGGGTGGCCCGGACGCGAAGAGCAAGCAGCGCCGCTTGGTTAAGTTCCTGAAAGTGAACCCGAGTCCTCACGTTCGCGGCTTTTTGCCCCAGGTCTCCAGCTGCACGCGGGGAGCTGCGGCTGATTGGGCAAAGGGGCCGCTGCTGCTTTAAGAGTCGCCTCCCCCTCTCCTGCCTTTGAGAATGGTCTGAACCGAGCTCTGCTTCCCAAAGCAAAATTTGTAATATGCCATTTTTCCGATGGACGCTTCTCCGTTTGGCTGCTGACGGAGCCGCTGGAAGATGCCGAGTTGCTGCTGCCAAGCCACCGAGCCGGGGCACGTTCCAGGAGGGCGCCAGGGCACGCTTGTCTCTAAGCTGCCTTTCTGCTCCCGTTGCTAGGGAAGTGGTCCTGGAGTGTCGGGTGTAAGCCTCCCCTCTCGTCAAGCCGGAGACTGCGCTTGTCATTGATCAATTGAAGAAGCAAGACGCGAATTTACAGATATTAGGTACAGAAACTGTATTTGAGTTACACGGTTTCTCTTCTTCTTTATTTTTTTTTTACCACCCTCGGGCCCCACCCCGCCCCCAGGGAAGATGAGATGCCAATTCCTCTTTGCCAGTTCCTGTTAGGTATCTTATGCTTTCCACCCCCATCCCTTCTTCTGTTTCTCTGTCTCCTCCCTACTTAGTTCTCTCCTGTTGGGCAGGATGAAGAATTTTACTGTGGAAATTATGAAGTCAACTTCTTCAGGGTGGTGGTGGGGGGTGTGGCTGAGAGATGGCTGTCCGGCAGTGTGGGGTGAACTGATTCTTCGGCCATATGTAAATGGAATGGAGTAAAGAAAGTGCAAAATGCTTCCATTAGAGCTGATAATACTGTTTCTTGAGGACAGGGGATTTCAAACAGGAATATTCATGTAATGAAATTACACAATGGCTAGAATTTCTGTTGCTGAATTACTCCTTGTGGGTTAACTGACGTGGAGCTTAGGTGGTTCTTCAGACTAAATCTTTGCAGAAGAAACTGACTGTAGAGAATAATTGTATATTTGCCTCTAGTAGGGTCTAAATTATATTAATCTGTTTGATTAAAGTGGTTTAATGACAGAAAAAAAAAACAATAACAAAAACAAACCTTTTGTAGCTCTCTGCTTGCAAGGCACGTATTGCTAAGGAACACATTGGATCTTGAAAGCCCTTAGGTAATGACTCCAGTGGACATTCAAAACTTTTATTTTGAAATCTGAGGGATTTAGAAGACACTCAAGGTTATGTGCTAAGAATAAGGGAGTTAGTTTTCCTGACATAAATTCTTCAAGCTAAATTTAAGCACTGAGCTAATTAAAACAACCAAATTTATTGTTTTCATTCTTTCACAACAAAATAAACAATAACCATAACTAGGTTTTGAAACCTTCAGTAATTTAGTGAATAAGGCATCCATTTCCAGATGAGAATAACATAGTTCATATATCCAACTGACTTTGGGGAGCAGTGATGAAAGGGCAAATATTAGAGCAAACTTAGTATTCCCTTCCTAGTTTTTCAGGAATTACATGATGCAATGTAGTTTTTAATACTGAAAAGGATTGTAAAAGTTAAAAGTGGTATATCTGGGTGAAAAATGCTTGGATATTAAATGACCAGAACCTTCTGGACCATAAGAGTTGCTTCATGTCGTCCATTCTATAAGAGGATGTTTAACTATTACATTGAATTATAGATTTTTAAATGCTTTTAATGCCTGAAAAGTACACTTCTGAGATCATTCACTTATACTATATTTTAAAGATTATCCCAATAATTTGAAATGTATATTGGACAGAATCTGAAGTCTAATACAAGAAACTAAGCTAGTTCATGAAAATGGCCTTATTTTTTGTAGACATAGTTTTTTCCTTCTAATCTTGATGGGAAGACTTTAGATTTATCATCTGAGTTGATTGTTTTTGGAAAAATAATGCAGCATGTATTTATTTTATTTCCTAAGTAACTTTTGCATAGTTTAATTTTTTTAACCTGGATTTGGAGAATTTAGAAGTACCCAGTAGAATTAAACATTTAGTCATGTAAGCAGAATGAGTCATTAAGGTAAATTACCTATTCTTTCTACAAAGATGAATGTTGGTAACTTTGTAATAGAAATAAATACTTGCATATGTAACAGCACTTTATATTTTTACTATGTATTCTCAGTCAGGTATCGCATTGGATCCGTACAATGGAGTTATTTTTTTAAAAACAAATGCATTATTATCTTTATGGAAGAGAAAATCGAAGTTGTGAGAGTTGATGTGTCTTGCCTTGGTTCACATGTCTCAGGAGGGACTGAGCAAGGGCTCAGATCAAGTTCTTCTGAGTATAGATTTGCTGGACTTTCTAAGTTCCTAAGCAGCTTCTCATCGTAGCATCTTCCAGATGATTAAATCAAACACGACCTTTTATACTGATCTAAGAGCCTAAAGTGTGTGAATGTCTAATGATCTATGATGACGGAAAACAACTAAGATAGCATATTCAGGGGAAAAATTATACCCGAGGTATTCACTATAGTTATGTTTTTCCTGACAATTTAAAGTTGTTCTAAGTAATTCTGAATGGAGTAAGGTAATAACTTTTCTTTCAAGAGGAGATGCTTTAAAATACAGATGGAGGACTGTATAACCCTCAAATTTAAATCTTTCCAGTCTCTTGGAACAATTTGTCACAGCACTAGCATTTCCTCCCCTAGTGTGTAGTTATAATCTTAAATGTGAAAAAGAAACACACTGGCTCCTAGTAATTCAGAATGACACAGTTGTTAGTGTGTGGATTTCGTGCATGGCGTGTAAACTAATCATTTTAAATATTCGAGTGTGTTGGAACTTTTTTTTTTATTTTCAATTCCTTTTTGTTTTTATTTAATGTAATGAAAATTTGTATCAGTTAGAGTCTGTTTTTCTCTCTTTGTGTTAGCCTTTGAATGAAGTCAAAATGAGAAAAAATACAAAAAAAGTTATATGTTCGTCCATTAAGTGGTTAACAAAAGTAGAAAATATGTGTGTGTGTGAGAGAGAGAGAGAAAGAGAAACTGTGTGTGTGTACGTGTGATATGTTTAAATACATTTTATGTGTCTACTCTGTTACTTATTTTAAGGTGAATAAGAAATTAAACAAACTAAGATCTTGCTTTCAAGTAGCTTAATGTTTTGAATGATTATTAGTAATTCAAAGCATTATTTTGAATTGTTATAAAATTCATTCCCTCCTCTCATTTTTTTTTAATCTAGGCTATCAGTCACAAAATATTTTCCTTTTGTCTTTTTTAAAAGTTTCTCCAAGTTTCAGTGGGCCCTGATCAAATCATTCCCAGATAATTGAATTTCTCCACTCAATAACCCAATTTATATGATGAGTCACATAAAAAGTAACTAACTATTGAGCTATTATATCTTGACATTTTATTTGAAAATATCACCAGAAATATTTTCCTCAAGGACAGGAATATGTAGGTAGAAAAATGAATTGACTTTCAATTATAAAGCCAAAGAATGCTCCAGGATCAACAGCCAAACCAGCCTTTCTCCACATCAGCCTCCTGCAAAGCCAAACCCTCTAATTAATAGCTCCTATCCTCAGTACGACAATGGAAATTGAGATGGTTTGACTTTTTTTAAAAACATAAGGTAGACGATAAAAAAGAAAATGAGGTAATTTCTGATTTTCAAAATACCATATAGTAGGTCAGTGTTACATGTCTGTTGTCTATTTTAAATGAAATTAATGATTTAAAAAAAAAGATTCTGAACAGTTCATTCATTTCACGACTGAGAGCTTGTGGTTAGCAGCTGAGATGTGAAGTTACTGCATTAGCTAATATAATTTATGGCATCTGTTTTGTGGAGTATTTGAAAGAGTGTTAGTTTGTATTGTTTGGATGGAAACCAGACAATGCAGCTAACCAGAAACAGGAATATTAAGTGTAATAATCTAAGTAAATTTATGTACCTTAGTCTGTTTTATAAATCTTATGTCTAATTCAGTCAGTATCACATAGCTACTCTATATGTGTACTGTAGGAATTGAAGAAGAGAACATATAAAAGTAAAAAAGATGGAAGTTTTATTGTGAAGAAGATTTAAACAAGTTGGTGTGAAATGATGTAAGAAAGTAAAAGTTGATTATCATATAAAATAAACACGCAATCATTTGTGGATTTTCTAAATGAAAGAGCCATCATTAATTCATTCAATTACTAATATCATTTAAAAATTATTTACTTCCTATCCAGACACTGTGCTTGCTGTTAACAGTATAGTAACAAATAAGGATAAGAGAGATATTAGCTATAAGGATTTGTAAACTTGCAGGGGAACATAAATGATGAATTAATAATGTAATAACATTTTTATGTGAATTGAATTATGTAGCATAAATTATGAAAAAAATTTTAGAAGATGAAATCAGGCTGTGTTTTGTAGGTAGGGGATATGTAGATTGTCATGAGGAAGAGAAAGCACGTACGTTGGAGGTAAAAACATTTAGCCTGTTAGAGTTGGGGTAGCAGGGTAGGGGGAAAAGAGACAAAGAGGCTGATGAGCTTCAAAGAGTTTAGTGAGTTGAGGACCTGGTGACATTATTAGAAATGCTTTCTTTCCTAAGACTTCCCTCTTTTTACTTTCTTTAAGCAATGATGTGTGAAGTGATGCCCACGATTAACGAGGACACCCCAATGAGCCAAAGGGGGTCCCAAAGCAGTGGCTCGGACTCAGACTCTCATTTTGAGCAACTGATGGTGAATATGCTAGATGAAAGGGATCGTCTTCTAGACACCCTTCGGGAGACCCAGGAAAGCCTCTCACTTGCCCAGCAAAGACTTCAGGATGTCATCTATGACAGAGATTCGCTCCAGAGACAGCTCAATTCTGCCCTGCCTCAGGTATGCTTCCTGACAGCATTTTTCCTTTCTACTGCAATTGAAAATATGATAAGACTTAAATAAGGTTCACCTTATCCTTTTTTATTCTCATAATTACTTTTACCCTTAACAAATATTGTATACTTGTTTGTTTCAGTGAGAAAAATTTGAGAATAGCTAATTATTTCACAGGAAACTTTGCCTTAAATAAAATTGTTGTGGTACTTTGGGGATGGAGGGTGTGAAACATGAGTTGCTGTCTGATCTTTTTCTTGGAAATTGTATTTGTGTGTTTTGATGGGAGTGCAAAATCACCTGTTGATCAGCTTTTAATCAGCAAAATGTGGGAACAGGTAGTTTTCTCTTTTTTACTTTAAAAAAACAATTATGACATTTGGAAATACAAACTTTCCATTTTCATTTGTGTGGTCTGTCTTTGGAAATGTTACTAGTTTGGGAGTCTACTGTGTAATTATTATTTCTCTTTTTAAAATGCCTAAAAACTGCTTTAAAAGACTTGGAGTTATTGCTCTATTACCTTCTTCCCTCAAAAAGTGTGAGCCAATTGGTTTTTATTTTTGAAATATTTTAGAAATGAAAGAAAAGCCAGAAGTTCAGTCTTAGTCTCACAACCTTAATATTATTCAATCTTTCAAACATCTTACTGTATTGAAAATAAGTTATGCTGATGATGAGAGTCAATTTACTTTCTTAAGAGTAGCATAACTGTGTTTATTTTAGGCATGAGTATGAAAGAGATATTTTATAATCACCCCAGTAAACTACAGTTTTCTTTTAAATACAAGTTTGACTGACCTTCTGCTTAAGACAGTACAGCAAATGTTGAAGAATTGACCTGTCACCACAGTTATATCTGTAGCAAATATCTTTTCATAAATATCGAAAACTATACAAAGTTGGTAACATGTTAAACTCAGCTGTACTATTAACTCACAGTATGATGTTAAGATGTTTATGACTCTCCAAATGGAAAGGATCATCTAGAACCCTCTGCCATATCACCAATAGGTAATTTTATAGCCCTAAATGGATAACTGCTGTCCCAGTCCTTTTTATTTTTAGTCAGTTTGTCTTGTGTAGAGATGAAATAATGTTCCCAATAACTCACACCTGTTGATCCACTGGTTTGTTTAATCACAATAAATGTTTCCTTCCAAGGATTTGAAGGCAGCTGCCATGTCTTCAACAAGAATTACTTTTTCAAGCTAGGCATTTCAGTCTCTTCAATTGTTTTTCTTGAAGTGATTGCTAGAACTATCACTCTCCTCTGAGATTATTTGAGTTGGTTAATACTATTGTTAAAGTGGGGCTCCAGAACTAATCACACTATTCCACATCCAAGCATTGAATGGAATAATCATTTCTTTTTCTTGATGAAGTATTCCATTAAGGAAGCCTAGGATTGTATTGTATACCTTCAATATGTACTAAAATAGCAGTCAATTGAAGTTTCTAATTGAGTTGCATAATTGCTACAGTGTGTTTCCAATTTCTCCTACACTTAGGAGCCAAGAATCAACTTCCAACTCTTCTGGGAAATTGACTCTTGGATCTTAAGTGTAAGACTCTGAATGTATCCCTCCTTCATTTGTCTTTCAATATTTTATCCAAGCCTAATATCATCAATTTGGATATTAACCCTATAAAAATATTCCGAGAATAATCTGAGTTTTTTATTTTTCCCTAACTATAAAAAATAGGTGACTGTTTTGTAAAGGTGTTATAAAGATAATATATTAGAATAAGATGCTTTGGAGAAAAAGAAGGAGAAAATTAGAAAATGTTCATACATAACTATATTGTATAGATAAATTTCTTCTTAAAAGTTCAAGAATTAAAATATTTTAATGCTAGAAATTCAACTGTATTGAGTATCTAGATTATAATGCCATCTAAAATATAAGTTTTGATTTTTAATTACACTAGTGCGCAATCTCTTATCCCAATCCCTTGAGGTCAGCTGTGTTTTGGAATTCAGAATTTTCCCTATTTTCTGTATGTATATAATGTATATTATGGAACATTCCTCCAGAAGGATTCTGGGAAGCACTCCATAATTAAACACATTCCTGTTTCTGAAGATAATTCTGTAAATATTCCTATTGCCTGAAAAAAATAAAGACTATAAATACTATCATGTTAGTTCAGGTCTGGTTTTGCTGCCAATCAAGTTTTCTATACCCTTGCAAATAAACTATCAGTTTTCAGACTGTATGGGTTTTGAAATAATAGACTAGGAATTATAAGCCTGTACATTTAGATGGATATAGTTGCAATCTGTTCTACAAATACTGGTTTGCATTTTGCTATTTTAAATATTTGAGTATCCCTAGCAGTCCACAGGTCCTTAAAGACAGTAATTATCCTGCCATTTTTAATAGCAAGGACTTAATAATCTAATCTATACCTTCAGGGATATATGTTTTCTATAAGTAATAGGAGAATATTCTTCTTTAATTAGTACTTTCAAATCTATCTGAATATTTGTAATCAATCTACCTGCACTGTATAGTGGCACTGTAATTGATATTTATCTGGAAGGAGGAGATGACGGCCATAAACCTGAGTTTTGAGGTAGAAATAAAGCATGTGAAATGGAAAATTAGTACAATAAAATAAAAAATGAAAATTATTGTAGCAAACAGAGTATAGATTGAAAGCAGGGACAAACTTTATGACATATCATGTTTTAAATTGCCTGTATAATACTTTTGAAGCCCTGATGGTGCTGTGGTTAAGAGCTCGACTGCTAACCAAAATATCCGCAGTTCCAATTCACCAGCTGTTCATTGGAAACCCTATGAGGCAGGCAGTTCTACTCTGTCCTGTAGGGTCGATATGAGTCAGAATTGACTCAACAGCAATGGATTTGGGGTTTGGTTTAATGCACATACCCATTTTAATGTTCCACAAACCTCAGATTCAGAATGCACCAAACTCAATCATCATCCGCCTCCAATTCCCACCCAGGTCTGCTCTAATTCCCTACCCAGAGCCTTGAGAGTTCTTATAGATGATACTTTGTCCCGCTCCTCTGAATTCAATCATCATTGGGCCGTACAGTTTTTTCCTCTTAAATAATTCTCAAATCTCTCTATTCTTTTCCACTTCTTTAGCACCCATCCCTTAAATTTTTCTTTGCTTCATCTGGTAACATTGTATGTTTGGATAATCCTGTACTATTTGTAATTCCAACAAACACCATGCTATTCCAATCTTTTTTCCTTCATGCATATTCATCTGTCTGCCTATCATGTTCTTCCCCAATGTCTTTGCATGGCTAACTTCTCATCCTTGTCAAGATTTTATCTCTTCCAGGAAGCTTTTTCTAAACTCCAATGCATTTCCTTTGTGTTCCTTACCCTTATCATTTACCATATTATATTTAAATTATCTGTTTATGTGCTTGTTTCCCAACCAAGAGTATAAGCCCCTTGAGGATAGGAGTATATCCTATTCTTCTAAGATCCTCTGCACCAGCAGAATACCAGACCCACCGCAAGAGCTTTTTACATAAAAACATAACTAAATGTATGCATTTTGAGGTGAGAGTAGTAAACTTTATACAGGAAGCGCTGCTTTGCAGAGGCATAGTGAGGAGGGTGTAAGAGGGGGGACATTTGCCCTGGGTACAAGTCCAAGAGGGTGCCAGATGAGGCTGGCTGGTGAATCACCCCCCTCCGCGTTTGACAAGGCTGGCCAGTGGGGCGCAGTGCAAACTTAGAGATTGTCCCTGATCCCTAGTTACCCTTGCTATAACTCTGCTGGTTTGTACTGTGACTCTATCCTACATTACCAACTTGAGTCAGGCTTCAGGTGTTCATGCTATAAAAGTGGTTAATACTACAACCTCACAAGGCAGTTTATGAGGATTAGAGGAAACAGTATAAATGAACACTAAGGTAGAAAATACGAACTATAGAAATGTTTACTTTGTTTTATCCAGAACGCTAAAAGATAAACTAATTTCTATATATGTACATTAATAAGCATTAGAACAATTTATTGTGAATATTGGTAAAATAAAGTCTTTGAAAACAGGACAAATGACTATCAGTTTTAAATATGATTATAAAGAATGTTTAGAGGAGAGGTAAAGGGAGTGAGCTTTCTATTACCAAAGTCTTTATATATAAAAGTTTAAAATTCCTTTTCAGCTTCTTCTTTGGTATATATTGAGGGTCTTCTGTGTATTATCAAATCGTTATAGATGTTTGGAAAGGGGATAGGAAAAAAATGGGAATAATGTTTTGCTCTCAGAGAGCCTAGGGAATAAAAATGCTTGGAAAAAATATATAAATGGGCCCAAGTTAACTTAGTGCCAGAAGATTATAGAAGTACTGAAAGTATTTGAGCTATAAGATCGATAAGAAATTAATTACAGTTTCATGTATAAATTGATGTAACAGAGATATTTTTAAGAAAAGGTTGGAAAGAACTTGAGGGTATTCTGTGTGAGGCAGTAGAGTTGTGCAGATAGGACCCTGCTCAAGGACAAGTGAGGGACTGAAATTCAGTCTATGCTCTGCTTTCCACACTAGGCTAAAAACAAAACAAAACAAAAAAAAAGAAAACCAAACCTGTTGCCGTTGAGACCCTATAGGACAGAGTAGGACTGCCCTATACGGTTTCCAAGGAGCACTTGGTGGATTCGAACTGCCGATCTTTTGGTTAGCAGACATAGCTCTTAACTACTGCACCACCAGGGTTTCCATGCTAGGCTAAAGGAGCCATATGATCTAGCGATAGCCCTGGCTAAGGAACAAAAAAGACTGAATTGAAATTAAATAAGAAGAATAACTTACAAACTCGTTTAATGTAAGGTTGTAGGGTAGGGATGAAATTTTGTATAATGGTAACGGAGGAGTGTGTCCTATTCATATGTGTGGTAAAAGCTGAGGACTGGAGTTTGTATACAAGGTAATCAGAATTTTGAGTGAACTAATGACATAAGATGATCATTAATGAATATTATTCTTCCATTTTGATTTAGGATAGAT